ACCCATGTTTTTGCTTTAAGATGAATACAAAATCCCATTAAAGTCAACAGACAGATGTCTCTCAGCACTTAACAGAACTTAACGGTGGACAAAATGTGAATGATTGAATACCAAATAATCAAGCCTGAAAAGTAAAGGCAATGGGCACTACTGCCTGTTGTATGTTTTACAATCATCATGAAGATCAATAGAAAAAAGGCCAGCAAACACAAATGTCTCAATTTTAGATCCTCTGGTGTGTTTAGATTTAGAAAATTTGTATTTTAAATAATGCTGTCTCATTCTTAACTAATGTTGTGTGAATTCTCGGTTTTATCAAGCTGACAAAAACGAATGAGTGAACAGTTACGTCATACTACTCAAATCGAGCTTTTGGCAAGAACGTTATGTCGAACATTAAAGAACCGGCTTTAATTCAAAACTTATATAGAAGCACATAATAGTACGAAGAAATGTGGACCATAAATCTTGAAGAATAAATGGGCTTATACTTGTATAGCACTTTTCTACTCTGAGACTTTCTACACTTAAGCACCTTGTTTAACATTCATGCACACACTCACATGGATGCATCAGGGGCAACTTGGGGTTCAGTATCTTGGTAAACAACCCGCTCTACCTCCTGAGCCACAGCCACCCAACTGGAATGCTGTGATATTAATATATGACAGTACTCTGTACTATTAACTCATCGTTCACACTCAGAATATGCAAATAAAATTTAGGGATGACAATTTTTCTTTAATATAACTCCCAAAACAAATTGGTTTTCCCCACTTTTTGTCATTTGTTCATCCGGTTGCGACTGCTAACATGGAAATATCTGCCTGAGCTCAGTTAGCCTTCGCATAAGAAATGCTTGAAATACGTCACTCTGTTTTTGTGCAACCGCCTAACTTCTGTTAGAGAAGTCTAAGAGAGAAATACACATATTGATAACACGTAATTAAAATGCAATGTGACCTCGAGATATGTCGACATCTTATCAAGTGTTGGCAGAAAAAATGAATAGGGGAGATATGAAGCGTGTGCCTGGAGAGTGCCACAATAAGATGTATGTGCTTAAATATATATGATTATAATACAGGTGCTGTGTATTTAGTTGATCCTAATGCTAACTGCCATGTTTGTCTGGGACCTTAATCAGGATGGACTGAGGGAATCAGTCCTTGCCATTTAAAATATTCCTCTTTGTAGCGAGGAATACTTCCATCCTGGCTTCCTGGATGTCAGCCCCCGTAGGTATGTCTCTTGCCTCCTATTTTTCCATCTGCACACAACTCCTCCCGTATCCCTGACACTTAATTTATTAATAATGGGACGGATGTCAGGTTAGGTGCTCTCCACCAGTGGAAATGCCCCACTGGCTCGATCTTCCTCTCCAGGCACCCACACGCTGGATGACAGCCACTGCTCCCTTTTCCCCCTTCTGAGGCACTTTAGCCTCACATGTCTGCATGGCCATCCACTGCAATGCGCAGTCGACTCTCACAAACCTATTTCACAAAATATTTTACTGTATGTGTGAGGAGAGTGCGAGAGACTGAGGTGATCCCAGAGATTTTCCAGGTACCTGCAGAGATTTTAAAAAAAAAATGCTTAAATAGATAAAACGGTTATCTTTTTAAAACTGGTGGAATCTTAGCGTTTTATCATTTGTTGCAATGCTTTACTTTAAATTCAAGAAGCTTTTGTTTGTCTAAGAGCAGCAAATATTACTGAGATTAGTATAAAATGATTGTACTATATGTGTGTGCTGCAGTTCTCCACGTGGTTCCACATTTCTAAAATGATTTAGGTGTCAGAAACTGAGCCATCACATATCCCTCATATTGAGTATCAGAACAAAGCCTGTTATTCAGGCTTTACGAAGTTTGCTTGTCTGCACACTGAGGCAGCGGGAGGCTCAGGTGCAGCAGAGAGAGACAATCCCTTCACATTCAGAGGGGAATAGACCTGTCAGTCCTCTAAACCCTTGAAGAACCAACCAGTGGAACCACATGCAGCTCTCTCAGCACACGCCACACTTATCTGGTGTGAACCAGGTTGGAAAGATACTAATGCAGGGCGTCATCTTTCAAGATGCAGGCATTCTTGGTGGATAATGATTGTGTTTTCTTGTGTTGTGGATCTGGATGCATCGCACTGAACATTCATAATATTTCAGTGAGTCACACAGCCGGTTCTGAACAAAAAATAGAGCTGGGGGGAGGGGTGGTGTTTCTTTGTTTCAGGTTTAAACAATCAAAAATGTGTGCTGCCTGTAGTCCTCTCTGTGTGCTCACTGCCAGGAAGATACTTTGGTCATTAACAAATTCAGATTTCCCCTTAACTCTTTAAAGGGTAGCTAATAGCTATGACTTTTGCTGCTCTTGACTTGCTGTCAGGAGCTTGGGTCATTTTAAATACTGACATAGTGAAACTCAGTTTTCAGTCAATAGTTTCATAATTGGGGGAATAAACACATTTTCTTGCTTTTATTGTTGTCTGCTTAACAAGAATCTCATGGAACATGAGTTAGGCTATTTTATCAGTCCAGCTGTTGGGAAATCAAAAGATCCTTCTTCAACACAACACCCCGGTACAACACCTGCATTGCTGCGGATGTAATGGCTGAAATGACTGTTTCACACAGTTTCAAACCACTCCACTACATGCTGACTGTCACGATGAATCCAACAAAACCACATCATCTGCAGAAAGCAGGGATGTTATTCTGTGTTTCCAAAACAGAAACCCTCGCCACCTCAGCTACACCTTGAGACACCTACACCCTGTCCATGAATATAACAAGAGGATTGGAGACTGGCAGAGTCCATCCTCTGGAAAAGTGCTTCACCTTGTGCCAAGAGCACAGACACAGTTCTAACTTAGATTATACAAGGCCCATAACAGCAGGCCCGAACCCCATACTCCTTTATGCACTCCACAGGTGCTGCTAGGGTATTATCAGTTCTTATATTCCACAAAAGCATGTGAAGCCTCAACAGGCAAACCTTTCCAGCTGTCTGGAATTACCTCTTTCAGGAGACTGAGTAGTGTGGTTCACTCTTAAATGCAGCACACCCTTTTTGAAAATGATAACCCCCACCTTTGCCTCTCACAGGCCCTGTCTCAGGAATCCACAAAAGTAAAGTGCAAAAATGACTGTTTCTTTCATCAGAGACTGTATATAAGCAATGGAAGCAGCACCCATTAGACAAAGTCACACAAACTCGAGAACCACCTTGAGCACCCTTGCCACCACCATTTAACTTACTATGTTTATGCTTGCAGATCAGTGACCTGTCACTGTCACAGGTTCCTACATACACTCCGACCTCTTTTTTGTAACAAGTGGAGTCGCCTCCTGGGATTTCACATACCTCCACTTTTCAGACTAAGAAGTTAGATCCGTGTTTGCTGCAGGTTCAGGCCAGCTTCACAGCTTCAACTCTTTGATCATTTATTTTCTTTCTTTTCGTGCCATTTTAACGCAGGCACTGCCAGCCCATGAGCAAACTGCACAGCAAACTGCGCATTCAACATTTTGGCCTGGGCATTACGCATGCTGCCTCCTGCATGCTCAGTGTAACAGCCACCAGAAACCACCAGATGAATTAGAGAGTCTTAAAAGTGTTGGTGGAGGGATTTTTTTTACCTTCTGGTCAGCAACCGCTTCTCCAAATCTTTGCTATACTAAGCAAACCGCCTGCAGGAAGATAGCTTTGTAGTCACTAATGCATAAGCTACTCTCAAAGTCTGTTTCTCCAAAAGAAAACTGATCTTCACTAACGAGCACGGCATTTATTCCAAATTCCCTAATATATTCTGCATCTCACTAAATTCACGCTTCAATTCTCCCTGATTTTTTTTCACTTTCAGTTTTTCACTTTTTTATTCCCAGGCTCGGTGTAGCGATAAATGAGAAAATATGCAAATCACAATAGGCTGACTGGGCTCAAAAGCCACACTTGTTGCTCCATTCTCACTATTAGACATGTAGACCTTTATATTGTGTTAGCACTTATACAGACTGCCGGAGCACAAAGAATAAAGATAATCGCATTACAGGCGGGCAGTTTGGAAGCAGTCACAGGCTGTGCTTTAATGGAGGCGGTGGCAGTATGGTGAAAGCGTGCGTGCACGGGTGCTTGTGTGTGTGCTGCTTTGTGAGAACCAATTGAGGCTGAAGCAGAGAGCTGGAGAGAGAGGATCACAGCCTTATACACCGTGTCTGTGTCACATGAGAGGGGGTCACCCAGGATTCCCTTCAAGCTGCTCTTCAGGAAAAAAGAATGTTACAAGATTTGTTTCCCGCCTCGTTTACCGGATAGGATCAGCACGCCAGCGCTACTGCTTTATCTTGTGTTGTCGATTTTTACATTTTTTTTTAAAGAAGATTCCGAAACGGGGAAGAAAAGTGAGGCAGACTATACCGGGAACAGACTATTTAAAAGATCAAGACTCCTTATAGGAATCAGTAAGAAACATTATAGGTAAATTATCTTTTTAGGGTAGAATTTTTCTCCCATTTCTTTTTACGTGTTTCTTTTCCTCGTTTTAATGCTGTGATGCAGGAGCTTTGGAAGAATTGCAAATTAGCCTGTTTATCTCGTTGATTTGGATCTTGACTTTAATATAAGCCAAATATTTGCTCGTTTGAGGCTTTATTTAGGGCTCTAGACATACTGTCGCTTTGCTCAACAAGCTATGAAGTAAAAGTTTTACACGCCAATTTTATTTGCCTTTTCGCCTCGTGTCTTGATCACAACACGCTGCAAGGGGCTGTGCACTGAAACCAACGGCGATTTACAATCTGCATTTTCAGTCGAGGTGATTTTACTCGTGTTTTCTGCCCTCGCCGACAATAAGGAAGGTTGAACTCCGCTGAGGGAAGGTTTACCTCCTTTCATTTGCTTGAGTTTCTTTTGCCTAAAAGATCAAGGACAGTAGCAAAGGGTCTGCCAAAACTCCGGAGAGCGAGGCTATATGAAGATCGAGACACAGTTGTTGCTTTTCCCTCGCAGAAATGCCAGTGCGTGCTGTGACCACCAGGTTCATGTACAAGGGACTTTGCACTATTCCAGATGTCCTCACCTACCGGACCCCTGTTAACCTGCCTGAGGATGAAGTGGAAGGTGAGGCTTGTTGTTTTTTTGCTATCTGTCTGTTTGCTTGCTTTGAGCATGGTTTCAACCAGTGACAGTAACGATAACAGCTGTAACTCCCGAATTTGAAGTTCAGCTGCCAAATCAGGACCCTGGAGAGCTCCAGAGGGTGTGCGCTGTACAACCTTTTCAACAAATCCGACACCAGATCTCTGTGTGTAAGATCTAGATGGTTTATAGTTTTGTGCTGGGGAAAATACCGACAAACTGTATGCTCTTACTTTTTTTCTTGCTTATGATTTTTGGCACAAAATTAAGCTGTAGAAATAGTTAATCGTGCTTTTTCCATTCATACATCAACCAAAAATTTCAATTTATCATCTAATCACAGCAACGGGATATTATATTGTGAGTAAACTGCATGTTTATACACTGCATTTCTCGGCTGTACCCCTGACCTCTATGAGACTCCGTTGCACCTGCTGTTATTTACTCATCCAGCCAAGACTGAGACACAGACTGACGAGTAGAGGGACTCTGAATTTTGTTAAAAGGGAAGGATCCAGTAATGGACAAAAACACTATACTGAATGTCAAACTCATAAATATAAAACTGCAGATTACTTGAAAATCGAAGGCAGACAAAACTCATCAATGAGATTGAACGATGGACTCATTTTGATCCATAAATTGCATCATTTCATCTTTTATGAATTGCATTAACCAGAGAAGAAGAAGAAGACGAAGAAGAAGAAGAAGAAGAAGAAGAAGAAGAAGAAGAAAAGAAGCTTTCATGCTGTACAGAAAGGGCAAGTGAAAGATTCACTTAAGCATTAAATTCACACTTGCTATTGTAACTGTAGGGCCGAGTTGTTAAAAATAGAGGTTTTGTTTTGCAAAAATGGTCCTCACAATGAGAATGCACACTTGGCAGCGATTTGGAACAAAGCCAGGCAGACTACAATAAAGAGATAAGTCAGATCAGATTTGATATCGCCAAGTCTTTTATGCATAGGGAATTCCATTTCCCCTTTCTTCTGTCTGTAGGTTGCCCGGTCCTCACAAGTGGCTGCCTGCCCTTGCTTCGAGCCACTCATTTGACATTGAAAATCCGCTATCTGCAGACACGATATAAATTAAATTAAAAGATTGGCTATGGAAAAGCAAGAAAAGAACAACAGCAGTAAAATGTTGGCGGGTGGTGTCATCAACGGCCATGCAGCTTTTCAGGTATTGGGCGAGTCTTTCCAAATTTTAGTTTACTAATTGAGTCATTAAATATTCAGAGTAAGACAGACCACTGAACCATGAATATTTACTGCAGGGAGGATTCACTGAGCATGTAATGCACTGCTACGTTTGCATGGCCTCACACCCCAGCAGTGCCCACAGTAAACAAGTAATCTTCCTGTTTTCACCTGCTCCAGTGGCAGGTAAAATGCATTAACGAGAACTGTAAGTTGATGAGGGAGGCAAGAGAGTTTAAGATGAACCTCTCCTGTTTACCAGCACAGAGCCAGTCCAAGGCTTTGAATCTGCAGCCTCCAACGTACCCTTTCATTGCTGCGCCACCTTAACGCACTCTGAGGGAGCTGCAGCACCTTTTTGGTCTGCTGCAGTCCAGGGTTTCTGAAAAATCCCCCCTCTCTTCATAGAGGTCCGAAATTCAGACTGTAAATGTTGTTTCATCCACAAAATCTTTAATTATATTGGGGCAGAAGTTCCCTGATTGCACAGCTCACATAATTACTTTTTATAATCATATTTATGATAATCTTTTTTTTTCTTGCAAGGTGCACATATATACTCCAAGTGCAACTGGACATGTTTAGAATGATCCTTGATTCAGTGAGTCTGTCGCAGTCAGAAAAACAAACCTGATAAAACAGATAACATTTTATGCTTCATATAGGATTATTATCATTCTGTGCCATGCTGCCAAGAACTTACGCAAGCCTCCATTTTCTCTCTACATGTATCCTAACATCTAAACTCATCATCAGGCTCACAGAAACTATAATCGCAGTAAATCAGTTTTTAGTATTGAAGAGCATGCAGGCGATGAGTTGTGCGGTTAAATCAATGGGACTTTTTTCTTGGTGACATTGTTTCAGGCACGGGTCGACTGCCACTTTGGAATACACACAAAAAAACACAATACAAGGACAAGAGGACCTTGCATCCTGTGCAATGACACGTGCTGCAACGTGGACAGTACATAGAACAACCCATCCCAGACAAACAAGTTAAAGAGTTTCATTTTACCTCCAAGTTTTAGTGTTGACTGATTTTCTCCTGTATCAGTAAACCAGCAGCATAAGAGCTGCAAGATGCATTGTCTAAATAACCCCCCACTCGTTAGCTGAAACACAGTGGCAAGATGGGGAAAAATGTTGTGCAGTGGATCTGCAAAACGGGACTGAGCACATAGCCTGTGGCGAGAGTTTTATCTGAATCTCTGGTGTAGTCACTAGAAACCCAGGTCAAGAGTTTTTGTTTTGTGCAACGGTTTTTAAAAAGCTCAAAACATATTATTATTCATCTTCATATAATATCCAGTACCTTTGAGATTTTCTACAAATGTGACCTTTTCAGAGGGTTTTAGAAAAGAAAAAAAACAAATCTGTTCAAACATCACTCATCTTTAGAAGTTTAGAGGGATGCACCAGGGGACTGAATGTGAAATGTCACATAGCTTGTTCTCTGTTCACAAGTTCTTCAAATTTAATGCAGAAAACTGTTAATGATTTGTGGGCATGTGGTGAGATCTGATTTTCCAACAGCTGTTCAGTTACATATTGGATAAAGGTGGGCAGCAACACATTTCAGAGAGGATAAAAAACATCACCTTTTGACCTCCAGCCTTCATCTGAGTTTAAAAATATATAGCTATCAAACACCAGATTTTCCCATTAACAGCACCATCAGGGGTACCCCAGAAGCACCATGAACTGCAGTGCCTCTGTTTTTTTCATTGACTAAATATTATGTGCATTACGGTTATTCTACGACAAGACCTAGGGACCTTAAATGAGGATATAATTTACTATGATGTAAGGAATGACATAACTTCTTTAAACTATAATGTAAAGTTGAAATTAAGAAAACAGCTGAAGATGGCATTAACTTAAAATTGAGTCAGATATTACAGAATCACGTGTTTTCTGATTTTATGCTGCAATTGGATGAATATAACCAATAAAATGAAAAAGAAGTTCTAATTATTTCAGTGGTAGAATCAACACTCAACAGAGATTATATATAAATCTTTATAATCCTGTCATCTTAAGACTTTGCCATTTTAAGCTGCCATTTTATTAGGATCACAGTCTTAAGTGCAACATAATGACATCCCTCCCACCCCTCCAACAACCAAACCAGGCAGTAACTTACACTGTTTCCTGAAAACTGTACGAGCAAGTAAATGCATCAGTAGGAATGACAACAGTGAGGATTACAGAGACTTGAATGGACAGGACATCCTCTGGACTGGGTGAAGTTGAGGGAGGCTGATTAAGTGCTCGCAGCTCTTAATGGATATGCAGATCCCAGGGAATGTTTTTCAAACAGATGGTTGCCGAGGTGGGCAGAGCCGACAGCAAGGCTTCCTATCCTTTTCTCTGCCCTTGTGTCATGCACTTGTCATAAAGCCTGATATGAAGCCACACTATTGTAAAAGCAGCCGTTCTCCCGCCTCTTAGAAATCAGTGCGCATTTGTATATCTGAGATCTGTAGATCCCTCATGTAAAACTGGATCAGTTTAACTCATGATTAAATCATCTTTTAAAAATCCTAATCTGGGCAATGTGGCGTTGGGCACCCTCTCTGTAACCGTGGAACAAAAAGCTGCCTAATTCATCACAAATTATACGTGATAATTAAGCCATTATGTTAATGACATAACAGCAATCACTATATTTAATCATGTCCCTGAAGAAACCCATGAAACATTTATGTGTGCATTTATCCTGTAAACACTGTTAGGTGAATGTCTATGTAGATATTATGCAGTGCCAAGTTTCTCTCTATTTAATAAGCACTATATTAAATCCCAGGTCCAGAGCCAAGTGCAGCTCATTATACATGACCGACTGGATAACCTCTAATGCTGATCCAATTCATAATTACACAAATAAATAAAACACTCAAAAATGTATATTGTATAATACAGGAGACTCGTACAATACAAATTTATTAGACCACCTGTCAAAAGAATAAGTAAAGAACATGTTTTTAAAAAAACGCATTTATAAATAAATATTATATTATTATTTATTTTTTTTAGGCAAATAGCAAAATGAATTCATGTTTGAGAAGTCAGAATTACTCAAGAATAAATTCAAGTGCTAAAACTAATTTTTCTGTTCAGGAATGCACGTAAGTGCCTGTAATTTGGCATCTTAATTGAAAATGATTTTTCTGCTTTTTTGTATAACGGTAAATTTAAAAAGTCATGGAAAACAACAAGAATTGTGTTTTAGCATTAAGTAGCTTGCACACACAGGTGGATTAACTATTATAGCAACATAAAATATTATTGTATTAATTATCAATTCTGTTCATTTATGGCAGCTGTGGTGCGAGCCTTACATTGAGTGGTGCTCTAATTAATTTGTTAAGCACTGTACATGAGGTAACAGACACAGTCTGTGGGTCTTTATTGACGTTTTAGAGCTTACTAGAACAAAAAAAATCAGCATTTGTTGATTACCAGAATGATATATACAACATTTTCTGATAATTGTGCAAATTATCATTTTATTAAGACATGATCTTGCAGTGTCAGCATTAAAATGTCTAAAACACACCCCATAACCCAGAGTAAATTGGTGCTTTAACTACACATGTGCTGGCACAGATAAGACACTCTTTTTATGGCTGACAACAGCTGTGACTTCCTGCCAGTTAAACTCTTGGAGGTCTCTGCGAGCTTGTATCGTTCCTCGGTGCATCACCGACAGAGAATGTGAACAATATTTATAGATCGCAGCCAGCAGGAGAATCCCCCAGATGTCAAGCATTGTAGTGG